TAAACCGGTTAAAAAACTTTGCAGTTTAAAAACATCGTCTTCGAAAATATCGTGGTAAAAAATAAAGCACCTATAAATAATCGCATGACGATAACATCCCGCACATGTTCACACATCGAGTTTTTCAGGTTTTAAAAGTTGTAAATGCATATTCTCATAAACATTTGGAAGCGCAAGAAATATTAACGAAACTTTAAGAATAAAGGGGAAAACAAGGTATAATTTTCACCAAAACAATATCAGAATAGAAACGTGAAAGAAAGTAATATGATAATTAACTAAGCAAATTTTATAGTGCAACCTCATGCAGTTATTTACCTTCCTTTTTCTAAACAATTTTAGGCTGTATTTTTCATGAAAAATTATGAGTAAAACTTTATAAAAAAAAGATTAATTTATTAATGACCTTTGTAAAGTAACTATGTAAATTTAAATTTCCATTAAGTGCTGTAAGTTGCATTAATTTTCTACTCATTTTCAATTTTAAATGCTTAAGTTATCTTCTTATTTTTTCAGTAAAAATTTATTAGTTCATTCAAAAATATGAAATACAAAAGTAAAAATATACCTCTTTTCTTCTCGCGCTCCCAAATCATTATACAAAAATGAAATTTACAGCTTTTAAAAACCTGAAAAACGCATGTGTGCGATGTTATCGTCATGCGATGATTTATAGGTACTTTATTTTTTACCACGATATTTTCACCGGCGATATTTTTAAAATGCGACGTTTTTGAACCGCTTTATTTTTGATGACAACATTCTGTGCCACAGTGTTTTAGAACTGCCGTGTTTTCTCTTTGCTTTCTTTTCTCCTACGACGTTTTGTACCACGACATTTTCGATTTGCGTTGTTTTCTCCGCGATGTTTTCGGCGGACGCCAGTTAACCGAAATCCAGGTACTGGGATCTCCACTTAAACCGGATTACTTGTTTCAAAGCCAAGTAAAATTCTTCTTAATTTGTTGACATCTTTTAACCTTTTTGTTTATTTAAATAATTCAGAAGGTACTGCTATAAAGGATACGTTTTTTTTTAGAAGTTAATTTTTGGGCGAATATATATGATCTTATTCAATTTGCTTGTAATGTTTGACAGCAATGAAGGCTATAGACACAATATGGAAAAACAATTATTCGTTCCGCATATATGGCCTAGTTCTCTGTATGTATTATAGGAATTCCCGCTCAGATATAAGAAATGAATTTTTTTCTAAAAATAGGCTAAATAAACGTGGTGATGTTTTATAAGGCATTTTTGCCTTAAAATATGCAGTTTGCATTATGTTAATTCGCTTGCAGTAAATATATTGTTACGAAATGTGCAGCCGCAGTAGGATAGCTTCCCTGCAAAGCAGGCTTAGGGTTGCCAGAAAATGGCAAGGAAAGGCAGGGTTGCCACATTTGGCGAGAAATCGCCCATTTGGCAACATCGGCGACAAAATTGGCGATATACCATAGATGGATGGAGAACCTTCTGGAACGAATTCTTACTGGTTTAGCCCAGGAGGTTCTCGAACACAAGCCAAAAGCTATATAAACCCTGCTGGTACGCGGTGGGTTAGTTAGTAGCGAGTTGATAGTGAGTTGAAGACTGCCTATTCGATTCAGTTAAGAGTCAGTGAGCGAGTGTCTCGTAATCTAGTGCCGGGTTGGTCATCGAGTGCATCGAGAGAGTCTCTTAGTGTATCGCGAGTTAGTGCATAATAGAGCTTGATCTTAGAGTGTGTTGAGCTCCGAGAACGACCGATCCGAGTCGGAAGCTGTAATCTAGTGTATCGTCGAGTGAATCGAAAATTGTAACGTGGAGAGTCTCGGGAGTATGTAGAGTTCCGAGAACGACTGAGTAGAGCTGGGAGCTGTACTCTGGTGCTTTGCCGTGAAGCTGTCTTCACTATTATAGCCTGATAGCCTGAAGACTGTATCGCTGATTGTTTCAGTTTGTTCATAGCAGTTCTTCGACGACTGTAAATGTTTTACTGGAGCTGTCTTGAATAACACTGGTTAATAAATTGTGTTTCGATACTTCATTAAATGTCTTCGTTATTCACTCCAAATCCACGAATCCGTACATACGTGAAGAGGAAAATACGTAACAATATATCTGTCCTATATAAACGGGAGACCCAGTTATCAGGATTTTTCAAATGTCTAGACGAACAGTATTTCCAGTTACTCTGAATAGCCGAAGTTTTACTATGTTGCAAAACCTTTTTTTAATCAAACGTTCCGAAGCTTGCTAATTAAGTATTAGTTATTAATGGCAATGCAGTATTTATTGTGATGAACCCATCTTTTATTTAGCCATCTAACACACAAAACTGTAAGGAAATTACAGTTTAAAAGGCGTTTAATATGGGATTTTTAAAAACAAATAGTGATTCTCTTCGCATAAGTTATTATGCTACAACCAGCCGTTTATGATTTCAAGAAAAAACGTAAGATCTATATCCTGATAAAGATTCGAACATAAAAACAGTTAATGATTGCTTCTCATATTACAAAAATAATCATCAAGATTATAATATATTCCAGCTTCTACGGCAAGCGTTTGTAGTTAGAAAAACTGACATTGAGTGACAAGTTTAGGGGTTAAATAAAGCAGAAGAAATTCATCTCTTGCAACGTGGAGTAATTCCGGCATTTAACGGTGATTGATGATGACATATAAAGAATTCTATTCATCTAATGGTGTTATTATTACGATTCGAAAAATATACCAATTTTTTTAAAAGGTTCATTTACTACTGATTATTACTTAGCTAAGTATTGAAAAGAAAATTCTATACTTTGGACTTAATTGTTTTAACAAGTATCATAGACTATTACAATAGAAAAACTCACAAATTTATTATATCCAAAATTGAGCAATGGACTTTACTTGTTTGTGGACTTGAATTTCAAATGAATATTAATTTTTGTAAAGTGTGGTGAACGCACGAATTAAACTTTACTCAGTCTTCTTCGCAAGCTGAATTCGAGGTTTATTAAAGCTTTATAAAATTATAAGATTTACTATTATTTAAATTAATTAAAAACTAAATTTTCTTATTATTACGCCTTCACAGATTACTATTGCTGCGCAAAGCGAGATTAATACGATTTCATCGCACAACAGCAGTGACATTTAGGATTGCGGTCTTTGCTTGTAGGATTTAATACTGGAATTCGTGATGAAATTCCATTAGAGCAAAGCATGACAATCTGTTTTTAGCTTAATAAAAGCAATTAATTAATCATAATTTTCCTAGTCAATTATTATTTATAGTTTTTATATTTAAATTCCTGAAACATGGATACGAGCACTAAAACGCATACAAGAAATAGTAATGCTGAATAACAGAACTCGGTAATGTAGAATAGAATTTATTGCTCAGTAATTTGTGTATATCCTTTTCAAATTTTCAATTTCAAGAACATTAAAATTATAAGTAAATTTTAGGTTTAAATATTTTACAATGGGTAAGAGTTCCATACGCATGTTTAAGAATTGTAATGATTATCATACACCTCATCGGAAAGCAAAATAAATGTAATGCATCTTCTAATCATGAAAATATTAAAGCGTCTATATAATATGTTTCTCGCTGAGGCATGAATTCGTTCTGATAGGGATAGTTACAGTAGTTCATAAAATTATTTTGAGCCTGGAAAACTATCTTATTAACATTTTTTATTCGCACAAGAAAAAAAAACGTTTGCACCAAATAGAACTGAAAACATGCAAGATATTCGATCTCTTTAAAACATGTATGTAGGTAAAGAAAAGTTCATAATAATTAACTTAATCTAGTTAATAATTTAGTTAATCTACCTATATTCAAAGAGAATTCGAGTATAAAGTTAGGAAACGTTAATTGAATGAAAAAATTTTATCTTCCTTGTATCATGGAAAGGAGCAAGGCTCTAAAGAAAGTATTCAGAGAATAATATTCCAAAGCTAGAGTAAGTTTTAATATTTTGCCTTCATTCAAACTATCTAATTTATAATGGGAGCGTTTACTATATCTGCATGCTGTCTGCTTAAGCTTTAAAACCGTACATAATTAAATACAGTATTTCCGTTCAGTTCAACAGTATGAATAACACAAACAAAAGACATTTTTTAGCCCTTTTCAGGGGTATCTTTAACCCTCATACATATCGCATCAGTACCAGAAATGTGTGAAATAATGTCGAAGATAATGTCAGTATGCATTTTCATAATCTAATAAATCTAATCCAGACAGTCCAGAAAGAATCCAGAAAGAAGCAGAATACCAGATAGGGCATATGGTTGCTATAAAATTGAGTTCTGAATGAAGACTTAGGTGCAAGTCACATGTAGTCAGGCGCCTGGGCGTGAGCCTCATCCTGAGTTTAACAGCATAGCAACAGCGCTTAACTTTTCTTGTACGTAACATAGGAGAAAAACCGAGCTGAGAATAAGACCTCAGTACTGCAGATGGATAAGTCTTCGCATATGCTATCTAGGAGTTTCTGACGGAAGATAACAGCTAATTTGCATTGACCTGTTTAGAATAAATTGAGGTTACAGATGAAGATTCGGTATGGGAAATTTAAAGTTTCTTGCTTTAAGACTATACAGGAGTTCATGTTCTAAGTTTAAATTTTTTTGAATACTTTCATTTTGTAAAGTAATATTTTTTAATCCATGTTAATTCTAGATCAGTTGCACCGTTTCGGGTCTTATCAACCTGCTATAGAAAATAGCAGGTTGAAAACTACATACAGTCTTCATTTTCCAAACTTTATGACAACGCAAGAGCGACAATTAGAAAATATACCGTTACCCTCCTTCTACCGAGAAATGCTTGGAAATGACAGATGATAAATGAGGTTATCCAATTTGAGATTTTATTAAGCAGTTGATTATCATCGTAGGAATTTCACATATTTTTCGTTAACATGCTGTTTTTCGGCAATGCAGAAAAAATTCAAAATGCTTATTTATTAAATTCGAGTGATTATAAAAATAATATCAATTTGAATTTCACGTACCATTTGCATCATGTTTGCAGCAGGAGGTTGATTATTTGTTCTCTCATATCCTTGCGCTACGATACTCCTAAGATAATTATGTTTCCATACTATAAAATCTTTTTCATGTTGACTAATGCCTCGAGAATAGATAGTGCATCGAGGGTTAGGAGGTCGGCAAGCTGTATGTTGGTAACTGTATCTCATGTAGATGAGTGGGCATCCTTGATAGTATCGTGCTCGACTGTCTACTTGAAACAATAGATGGGCCAGCACTAGACAGAGCCCTAATATGTGATGCATTTGTTCAGGCAGGTCCTTATAAGATCTAAAAATAGAAAATCAGTTAAGCAAAAGGTTAATATTTAGTATCATATCCGAATAAAACAAATAAATGACTACTTTTTTGCCTCAATTTTGAAAAGCATAAATTATTTATTAGTAACACAATGTTTGCATTTTTAATATTTTCTTGACCAGCTGAAGTACCTATCGTTGTCCGTGCTTTGCGCACAGTTAAGAAGCTTCATTTAGGGGGATGTGGATACTTTTTTTTTTTTTTTTCAATATCTAAGGTAGAAAGTGATTTCCTCTTGTTTTGGTAAGGTGATTTTTTTTCGAAATCTTAGATACACTGTCACCTTCCTTTTGTTTTGAAGGTCAAGTGGTCAAAATTTCATCAAGAACGGAATAAAACTGTAGATTTGTGTGAATGACACGCGCACGTGCAGACAAACGGACACTCTTCTCTATAGATGATTTTAATGAATTCAGCTAGGGTAATTTCGGTGGTTCAGCTAGTAATTAAGAATCAGCGAAATGAATCTGCATTTATTGCTTTTAAATCATTTAGCTTGTTACTTAATAACAGGACAAATTTGAAAAAAAATTAAATGTATGCTATGTAGAACGATAACATACTTAAAATTATTCGACTTGTGCAGTGGCAACACATTTCTCTTAAACCGCTGTATTTATTTATTAAATTCGAAAATCAAATTACATATTGCGTTTTGCTGAGTGGCAACATACTTCTTTTATGCCTATGAGTTTTTCCATTAATTTTGAAACGTAAATATCTTACACTTTGCAGAATGGCAACATAAAGCTTTTAAATCGCATTATGTGTAAAAAGAATAATGATATCATAGGGGGATTTATGAGAAATCTTATGTAGACAAGGCTTTTCTCTTGTTTTGAAGGTCAAGTGTGTTAAGTTTCATCAAGATCAGAATAAAATTGTGGTGCTTTTTACAATGTATCTTTTATAATGAGATAATTTTATTGATAATATCGTTGCTGTATATAAAGATTAGTCAAACGACAAAAAGAAACCTTTAAGATTAGAAATATTAGCCTTATAAATCTGAGTTAAAGCTATCAATAAGTCTGCTCATACTCATGTTAAGACTTCGCTATTAAAAGAGAGGGATATCAGAGTTTTAAAATCCTGCTAGACACACGCACACACACATGCAGTTAAGTTTTAATTTCGTCATTAATTCATGAATTTATGAAATAAAGTCACTGCTTTTATTATCTCGAAAAGAAGATATCGCTAATCAGTAATAAAGTAAATAATAAAAATGACAGCGAAATTTTTCTAAGTAAATGTAGATTTCAATTAATTTCAACAAATTCTTCTTACTAATTAACGCTTACACTTTTCCTTCATTATTTTTTAACTTCCATAAAATTAAAGAACAGAACGAATGTAAATAAGTTTTCTTACAGGCGAATTCATGATTTGTGTATCCTAATTTAAATAAAGGAAAGATTTTTTTGCGCAGAGCTATTATTAAGGTAACGGTAAATAAATATGATTTTAAAACTGAGCAAATTAATTTTGCGTAACCATTGGTATTTATGAGCCATAATTTATCTTTTAACATTGTATCAGAGAGATCTGAAATGAAAACTGGGGTTATGTCCTACTGCGTTGTCTGAAATTCGCGCAATGATTAATGGCGCTTGCATAAACAAATAAGAAGAGTACAGCACTTTCACAAGCGGAAGAAAATGTCTAAATTGACGAGTTCAAGGTGAATCACAAGTCGAGAATGATGCCACAAAATAAATTTTTAAAATCTCAAGGGAATTTGTTAGAGATTGTTGTAATCTTTTGTAATCTTTATAATTTGTTGTAATGAACATATTAAATTAACATTATAGAAACAATTTTTAATTTTTATTGAATGTACTGAAATTAACAATCATTGCAAAAAGTAATTTACTGGTTTTATAATTACACGAAAATCTATTGCATGGCCGTTATTAAATATGAAGCGAAACATACTTTTATATTAAGACTATTAAATTAATTTCAGCCATAAAATGTAATCAGATTGCTATAAGTTCCAAGTTCGCCTCGAGGGCAATTCCCAGCGACGTGGCTAGGATGTGTACTTAGACTCGGCTCCTGGGATACCTAATCAATTTTCACAGTGACTACAACTATCGTTTATTCGGTAGTAGGTTCAGGCTCGGCAGGGACCACACTGGTACTGTCTTGTCTGCTCCTTGGTTATGGGGATGTAACATTATTAGATATCGAAGGTTGTCCTTCGAGGTTTGGCATCCCTTGGTCAACATTTCCTTCGAGGTTTGGAGGAAAGTCTTAGACCTGGCTTCGTTCTCTTTGTGGGTGAGTGCTTGCCGGTCGCCACTGATTTGTGTACTTTAAACTTTGACTGTGTGCAGATTTATCCCCCTGGGTTGACTGGGGGGGGTATGCCTTCTTAGATCGCCTTTAGGGGTTGGGGCATCATTAACCGTGTTAAGGGCCTTAAATAGTTCGGTCTTCCTTCTTTCTAGTTTACTACTATGAGTTCCAAATTTCCTTTGCAAATAACATTATTAAGAATGCCTGTGAATTAAAGAAAGTTCTCCATACGTTTTCTTGAGATTACTGTAATTTGAAACGTCTTGTCTTAAAGATAAAAGGAAGCGGCGCAAAATTTGCTACTAGTCTTATATTATTATAAATGAAGTAAAAAAAGTTCATGTACTATATTTGTTTAGTTTCGGATGTGCTAGCGATACATTTTATACGTAAAAATTTTTAAACTTATTTTTTCATGGATTATCTAAAGTTAGCTACTAAGTTTGGCACAATAACTTACAGCTCATGCTTACAATGTTTTCTCCTTATAGTTCATATCTAAATGTTTTGCAATATATAATTAGTTTTAAATATTTGACATCTTATAAGCGTACAAAATTTTTATAAAAGTAATCTCCAAATAGCGATACCAGTCCTCTGTTTAATAGAATATTTCGAAAATTCTGCTATATATTTCCACGACATTTCATACTTTTCTATATTTAAAAACACTTTTAAAGCGTTCTGTTAGAATCTACTGCGCGATAGGAAAAGCATTTGTGCATTTCTTTAAAACTTGTCTATATTTAGTAGAAAGTGACAAGGGGAATTTACTGTAAGAAATGATAGATTCTATGGCCGCAGATAACCTTCGCAAATGGATTTTTAAGTTTTCCAAAAAATGGCATAGCCAGTGAGATTGTAAGGTTTATTTTAAGTAACACGCTTTTGCTTATGCTAAAATCTGTTCTGCGCTCCTACGTTTTTTGCTGCTTCCATCAAAATACGCAAATAACATTAGTTTTAAATTGGATGATTTTGGTTTAGTTTATTATGGGAAAACACTCTAGGGCTATCTGCCTAAGGGAAGGGATGACTTTCTAAGAGGAGGAAGAAAAATAGGTGTAATCTTGTACGTCAATATCCGCAGTTTTAGATTCATGGAAAAGAATTTTGAGGAAATTAAAGCGGATTTTCAATTTAAAGATATTTATGTATATTTAAAAGGTCCGGATAATTTTGAACATACCGATATAACAGGAATAAGCTACAGATCAAACAATTCTAAAATAATGGATCATTATCATAATAATGGATCTAAAATAATGGATTAAAAATTATAATTAACAAAGAAGCATATCCCAGTTGCATTAAGATTTAGAGTCCCAGTTATATTATAATTCAGAATTTTGCTTGATCGGTTCATTTCGAAATAGAAAACACATTACAGTTGGTAAGGGAATCAGTATTTTTCCTTCAACAAAAATTTTTACTGAATATGTCAAAATCTGAGAGACATGCCAATTTGTTAACGATATTAATTCCAGTTCGGCCGAATAAATACCGGTATAAACAACTTAAAGTTAAGTTTTTCGAAATAGGTAATTGGAATTGATCCGTTAGGTCCATACGTTATATGTTCATCAAATAAATATAGAATTATTTTAATAATAATGGACCTTTTTTCAAAATAGGTAGAAAATAATCCCATTTCAGCAAGCCTCCGCAAAAATCGTTTCAGATGCATATTTAAATAAATTTATTTTAAAATACGGTTCCCCTTTAAAAAAAATCTCCGAAAAGGGTCCGGAATTTATTAATCAAGTATTTAAAGAAACATGCCTAGGCCTTGACATAAACCATTTAAAGATGATTCCATACGATTTCAGGCCGATACTGCAGAGCATGTAAACAGGAATACGAGCTATACGTACATGAACCAAATATTACCACTAGCCCTGAGATGATGCTCCGGGATTAATGAGCTCGCATGTGCCCGAAGACGGCTAAACATGATACGATAGGGAAAATGCTCACAATTATTTGGGGGAGGGGAAGAAAATTAATCACACTGTTAGATAAGCTCTTTTTGTTAAAAAGAAAAGGGCGGGAAGCATTTTAAGTTGAAGGCTATTCAAAAGTTGGTAAGCGGAAGTAAATTTGTGTTGAATTTGTCATGTACTTCAAGAAGTCTGTAATAAATTTCAGTTATTTTATTTTATCTTAGTATTAGTTCATTTAGCATTTTGTGGTTGTAATAGAAACAGGGACGAGGTTTTATCTTTATACTAGTTTAGTTTAAGCAAATTGGAGGTTAACCCCATAAAATGACATAAAATCTGGTTTATTTTTCCAATTCTTACTGCAAAAAATGTTAACATTCAGTAGTTAGAAATGTTACTGAAGTAAGCAAAGCAAAGTTGAAATTTTTACGTATCGAAAAAGTATCCGAGATATTTAAGAGAAATTAAATCCTTAAAAGGTGATTAAGATTTCAGCAAGGTATCATGGATGACGTTTGACATTTTCATGAAACAAATTCTAGAGTTATATAAAATTGTCTTAACTCATAATAATTATTTGCGCTCATCATTCCTGTTTTCAAAAACACTAAAACAATTAAATATTGCTTTTATTTTCAAACTGGAACCAATAAATCAAGGGGTGGTGCACAGTATGACCACGCAATACCGCAAAATATTACTGAAGACCATAACAATTGAAAT